TGCTCCGCAGCAATAGAAAACATTCACAGGCTGCGCTTGGCGCTGTACTAGGCACCTCATTCTCTCCAGGCCGCAGAGCAGGTGACCCAGAGGGAATCGCAAACTTCAGAAGTGTATAAGATAAGATTTATATTTCCAAATGGAGACAAGTATGATGGTGATTGTACAAGAACATCTTCTGGAATCTTTGAGAGCAATGGAATAGGTGCTCACACCACTCCTAATGGGATTGTCTACACAGGAAGCTGGAAAGATGACAAGATGAATGGTTTTGGAAAACTTGAACATTTTTCGGGAGCAGTATATGAAGGACAATTTAAGGACAATACATTTCATGGATTGGGGACTTATACATTCCCAACTGGAGCAAAATAAACTGGAAATTTCAATGAAATTAGGGTGGAAGGTGAAGGGGAATATACTGATATCCAAGGACTACATTGGAGTGGTAGCTTCCATTTTGCAGCTGCTCCAGACCTGAGACTAAAGCTTCACATGTAGATATTCTGCATTAAAGTTTAAACTGGTATTTGTAGCTTTTAGCTGTAAGGAAAGCAACTAAATCTGTCATCTGAAATTACTTCACACACTACCTCTGTATTATAAGTTTGACAATAAAATTGTCATTCACTTAAAAAAAATTTAAAAAGAGAAAACATTCACAAAATATGTTCACTACAAAATAGTATCTACTCATCATCTATCATCAAATAATATATACAGCAAATGTTTTTAACTGAAAATTAGCCATAAAGCTTAGATAAATATATGGATTAGGATAATAACAATTATAGAAAAGATTGTGGAAGCAGATAAAAAAAGATACTGGATATTAAAAAATTAAATGTATTACATTACTTTTATTATCATCTTGAAATTGATTTAAAACCAAAATGGACTTTCTGATTATGCTAAATAAATGGATTTGACATAAGAAAAACCAACATCCCTGCATTTCCTTAAATATAATTCAGAGATAGTTTTGCGAAAATAAAAAGAATTAGGTTTTTATAACCCAATAGTTATATTTAGTCTGCATCAGAGATCAACAATTTTTTTCTGTAAAGGACCATATACATAGCAGATATTTTAGATTTTGTGGGCCTCTAAAAGTTTCTGTCACAACTACTCAACTCTGCCATTGTAGCTCAAAAGCAGCTACAGAGAACATGAAAACAAACAGGCAGGGCTGTGTTCCAATAAAACTTTATTCACGAAAACACACTGCG